TCAAAGGGAAGTGTTTACCCCTATGTATAGTCTGTGATAGAGAATTATCTGTGGGATAAAGGCTGAAGCACTTCACCTATTGCAGTGAGTTGGATTTATAAGGGCACTATGACTACACTGCTACTAGTATTACTACTTCGTTTTATATAAAGAGAGCACTAGGTTCATTCCAGGTTTTGAAAATGTTCATTATCCCTTGAATTTGTTCAAATCCCTTCCTTCATTATTTTACCATCATAAATGTAATAAATGATATGTACAAGACAGTGGTACATGTCAGCATCAGCAACATTCCTGGGACAATTGCTTTACAAATTGTTCCTTAAATTAGAAACACTTAATGGTGTCTATATAGCTACAACACCTATTTTCTCCTCTCAAGAATGTCATACCAATGCATAAGTATAAAAGTATGTGTTCTGATCATGAGAAGATATAGGACCGACTTGTATGTATACTCAATCAGGAGAATAGTGATTTATCTTTTGTGACCCCTTTCATTATTTTATTTGTTTCAAACTTCGATATCTTTTTACATGTAATTGTTCCGTGATCGGACGTTAACAGGTATGTGAATACCTGCCCGACCATGCGAGTTTTATCTCCGGGTACTTTGGTTTCCTCCCATATTACGACCCCCTGCACCCTAACATCCTGGCCAACAAGATCTAGAGTGATTAATGTTATTTGTAAAAACTTGTTTCATAGCTGTTGTAAAATAAATGAACTTTACATTAATATTTTCTAATTATATGAGATCTGGTATCAGATGGCATGAATACAGGACTTGTGTAACCTGATCACCTATGTCAGCTGCCTGTAGGTGGATCTGGGTATATGTTAGAACTAAAGGTTTCTCTGTAAGGACAAAAATGTGTAATTTTGTCATTACTGGTACTTTTCCACACCTTGCATTTTGCCTTGAGTAGGTAATGATGTACGTCTGTTGTATCATAGACAATGATTGAAAAATAGAAAATCAACAGACGATTGATCGGAACAGACGGCCTGCTGTGGGTTCTGTCAACATGTTAACGGCTACTGATTGATTCTGTACAATCAATTAGAATCTGTTTGGGGTATTTACATTGTACGGTAGGGATACAAAAGACACTGTGTTACCCTCCCGAAGGGACCCTATAGCTCCTGAATACAGAAACGGTGTTTGTCCTAATAAAATCATTTTAGGGCATTTTCAATTCATTGTCGATTCATTCCTTGGTTAAATAAGCAGCCAGGAATGTTGTAATTATATGTATATGGAACTGTGTGAGTATTGGAGATAATTCGTGTGTAGATCGGTTGACCTACAATAATTAGTCGATCGAGTACAATATTTGTACCTAATGCACTCTAGTTTGAGTCGTCATCCTGACCAGTATATAAAGATGGCAAGTTTTCTTATCAAACATCCCTTTTTTCCCCAATGTACATACCGGTATGTGACTTATATATTATGGCAAATCATATTTACTGGGAAGATGGTCTAGTCAACCCTGCTGTAAAATTAGGTATAAAACTATATTCTTGTTAATCTTTGATGACAAGCTTACCGGTAATGCTACAAATTTGATTTGTAACATTTTTTAACGGTAAACATTTTTTTAATGCAATTACCTTGTATTTTGCAATCAAGGAAAACTAATCATTTGTGTCAAGTGTCAATGTGTCCCTTTATATATACTCATACGGAAGGAGTAATCATATAAATACATCACCACACGTCATTCTTGCTGGTTGGTCTTTTGGCGCAGAAGTTGATTTTTTTTATCCAAGTTCACCAAGTTGATTTGTTCCACTATCAGATATAGAAATTCTGTACACAGGAACAATCAGCTCTTTACTAGTTTAGCAAGGTCACGACCTTTGTAACAATTTTCTACACAAAATTTACACACTTTAATTACATTTGTGATATTGCATTGTTTGAAAACTGAGTTCCTATTTGAAGATTGTAATGAACTTGGTTATATATTTTTTGGTGAGATCGGAGTTGATCAATGTCAGGTATTGTGAGAAAACAATTAATGAGCCCGTTTATGAGACGTTTCACTATTGACATGCAATGTAATGGCTGTCTAGCATGAGGTCCTTGCATCAATTCCACGGCAATACCTTATCTAGACAAGGCGACTGTATCACACTGTGGCGCTATCATCGGTAATGATCGCTGGTCATTATTACTGTATACTGACACATTCTCTTACGCTTGTGTACCGTGTCGTGTTTTAGTTTACTTCAATTACAAATTCAACATTTGACAAACTTGAATTGGTTTCCCAGCTTAATATAAATGATAATATCACTAGTGATATGTAAACAAAACACATTTCAGGTTATAACGCACTTCAAAATCAGTCTCTTTTATTTGCCAGGAAATTATTTTTTGTTGCCTTCAATAAGTTCCTAGCCACACGTACGTACAGCAGACTATCTTAAACACTGCCAAGCTCCGCCAGACGCCGCGCATAGACGGTTGTTTACCTGTCACCAACCTCGAAAGCTGATCAATAGATTTAATTTGGTTTTATATCAGTTTCCTGTATTGTGAGTAATATGTGCTGTACGAGTTAGATTTATATTATCTGGATCTTTATGAAGGTTTACAATAAATAAGTGTGTCAAGGAAACAAACGAGTCCTCGTCAGACATTTCTTGCTTTTTAAGTCTTATTGGATTCAATTCTTCAATTGCCAACTTTATAAACTGATATCGATCGACTTTGAAAAACTGAAATCCACTTATATTTATTTTTTGACCTTCATCCTACAATGCTCTGTTGGAGTTGTATTTTACTATTGACAGTATCTAATTCAAGTTGAGTAATGTCATTCTAGATAATTACTCATCAAACCACACCGTCTGAAATATTATGACTTAGATATAATTCCCATTATGGGAAATTATTTAAGTATATTGAATTAATTGAATATTGTAGTGGTCATGAGGAATTTTAGCATTAATCGCACATCGTATCTAGGAATTTTGTCTTGCCTGATTAAGAAATCTGATAAGATTGTCTAAAAGTCCCATTATAAAGTGATAAATTAGAATTGCATACCTGTGTGTCACTGTCAGATGGGTGCATGGTCTTTGTTCCACAGGGCAAATTACCCGTACTCCGCAATTAAGTGGTTAAATACGGAGGTAATGTGCCGGGCATATAGTTACTGTGGCGTAGTTGTGAAAGTGATATCTGCTGTCGCAGGGGACGAGTGTCGCATAGATAGAAACAGTAATTAGGGAAACGCTTGTTTGAACTATAAAGTACTTGATTGGTATGCAGCCTTCACAGGTACGTCTCGTTACCCGATTAAACAGCTTTCATCAAAATGGAAGCTCTGGTAAAACTATTTTGCAAAGGAAAACAGTTGGAAAGTTTTGATTTATCTCACAAAAATGAATGCAATTCCCAATATCACTTAAGGTCTGCTCATCTGTTTGATAGACCAAAATGAAGTTTTCGAAAATTATTTTAAAATGTAGAAGTCCGAAATTTTACATAGCGGTATACTGTTAATAGGGGTTTCAAAAGTTCCTAAGGTCAAGGTCATTGTTGCTAAAGATAGAGTGATGCCGCAGAAAAATCTACCTATTTAAAACCCGATTATCCCAACTTCATAACGCCAATCTCCTTACGTTGTGTTCCAAAGTCATCGCATGTTTTACTAGTGGTAAATGATTGGCTGATATATACGGACTACCTTTTGAGCTACATGTATTACTTCTGTTGAACTGGTACAATTTTAAGTGCCGCAGGCATTCTTGAAATGGTACTTGGCAATTACGTTAGCCTACATGAATAATGCTGTAATTTATCCATATATTCCAAAATCCAAGATGGTTGCTATGGTTTCTGTTTGGTGATAATATATAATAATGATAATAATCAGTCACATGACCCTTGTCTGGTTGGTATCTATATATACAGATGTACTGAAATATTTTTAGATGTACTTGCATGCATATACAATGTACGTCACACAGAGGTGCTGTCAATATCTGTTGGAGGAATTGTGATCTTATTTCTTCAAGATGTTATTAAATATAAATATAATGTATACAGGAAGATATCGATGATTTCCGTAGGAGGACATTTTGTGGCCTTATTTTGCGAGGACAAATGAGGTCGCGCGGGCTGTGCAGTTAAAGTTGTACTACAGGACACCACACATCAAGATTATGATTTAAATGCCTTGTCATGTAAATTTTTCAGTGCATAGAATTCCTATGCACTGAGGTAATCTTCTGATTGAAATTCAATTTTACAGCGATACAAATCCACACACACTGTCCTGTACATTGAAGTTCCCGTGGCTTTCTCATGTCACACGGTTTTATGATTGTCAGTTTTTAGGGAGAAACCAGGAGTGGTATGAATTCTGAAGCTTCACCCGAGTCGCTGTCTCCCCCAAACTTTTGAGTCATAATCTACGAGATGTGTACAAGGATTGATTCAGTTTTAAAAACATAATTTAAATTTCAAATATTACACATCCACAATATGAAAAGCACCTGTTTACCCTTTTTTGAATGAAAGTTGATTAAGATATCATATTTCATTTGAATAAATCTAAACAGGTATTTCTGGTCTTTTCTAGTGTTGATATTCAGATTTTTAACCTCAATCTATGGTTGGTGGAAATTAGATGGATATTATTGAAGGTAGTTATCAACCAGAGAAGTGACAGTTATATCTTAACAAATACCAAAGTTATGAAACTTTTTATTAGCAGAAGTTGGGTTTCTAAGTAACATAATTTACATTTATACTTATAACTACAGTACGAAGAAACTGATTTCTTGAGAGATACAAGAATGCGAAATTCCTAAGTTAACATCGGAATTTGTTACGAGGTAATATTGTAGATTTCAGTTTTGACATATGTTCATTGCAGAGTGTGATATTGATGAAACTGATGATTGTATATATATATTGCTGTCACGTTTCATTTTTTGAAACTTACATAATCAATAAAACGTGTTTTGCATGTTTTCAGGGTGACTAAATGGCTGGTTTTGTGAAGAAGTGTCCGTGTCTGCGGCCACAAATAGAGGAGGATGTACGAGAACTGGACTATCGCCATTGTAGCTTGACCGACGTCCCGTCCGAAGTCTTCAACTTTGAACGAACCCTTGAAGAACTGTTTGTCGATTCCAATCAGATCCGAGACCTACCCAGGGTAAGTGTATATATAGTAATTTTGTTAGCAGTTAAGTCCACGTGTATTGAATATATCTATTGATGAATAATAGATGTATTCGCCTTTGTATCAAACGCACACATGATACAGACACTTGTAACATGTATAATGTATCCATTACCGTATTTACTGCCTCCATACAAATTAACTTCCTCAATGTTTTTTTGCTGACACACCTCGTAAATGTAAATGGTCCAATCGTACAGCGTAATTTCGCCAGATTTTAAGTTTGGATTCTTCGCACATCCTGTTTAATGCATTAATTGGTCGACACATTAAAAATCGTATAAATTTAATGCATTAATTGGAACAAATTAGACAACAAGTTTAAACATCTCACAAATTAAATATGGAACATTAGAATTCTTGATAACAGGTAACTGTTAATGTTATTTCTAGCATGTTTTAATGATTTTCTTACTATATTGCTTTGATTATAAAAAAACGTTAAAAAAACAGATTTGTTTTGATTTAACAATTGAAATTTTGCTGAATAAATATTTGTGGTAAAAGGATGAATGTTGTGTATACTTTTGAAGTACCAGTAGTTACATAGGTTAACTCTTTCACCCCTGAAATTTCATAATGAGCTATTCCAACCTTTGAATTGGAAGGGTTCAAATGTGTCTTCAGGAGTTTAATATTTGTACATGTATGAAGTTTTGTGGACAATGTTTTTCCAAAATAGCAATGGGTTTCCCCAAAAGCATCTTAACATGAGCTTTTAATTAGGTATCGGATTAGAGGTGAAATGGCAGGTACATGGATCATATAGATATTTTAGATATGTAACTTTCGTAATCCGTAGGAGTTGTTCTACTGCCATGGGATAAGGAAGCTGAGTCTGAGTGACAATGAGATCACACATATCCCTCCAGCCATCGCCAGCCTCATCAACCTCGAGGATCTGGACATCAGTAAAAATGGTGGGTATATACCTAGGCAGATGCTTCATGGCTGTGCTTATGAAAATCCCTCTTAGCTGATGTTACTAAGGGACTTTGACATGGTGTACAATGTGCTTGCACATCCTTTATGTGTAAAGAAGCAGGGCAGGACAGGGGGTGGAGGTGAAGACGAAACGAAAGGATGAGGGGGGTCGAGGGATGGGGACAGGGTAGAAAGGTATAGGAGGGAAAATAATGGGAGGGGTGGAGAGAGGTGAACCCTAACAGTTAAGATTGTATAGAATCGAAGCAAGGACAGATGAAGAAAGAGGGCTGGAGCAGGGATTATAAAAAGGGATACTGAATTTGTTATTTTCTTAACAATGAAAAATCTATAGAAAAGTCATCAATCACAGCTGGTATTTATTACACAAAAGTAAAACTCACAATTTTATTATCACTGGTTTAAACCTTCACATTTCTCTGCAATTAAAACAGATGTTACACAAGCGTAATCTTGAATACCTACTGACTCAGACTTACATCTTTATGTCCTCAGAATATTCAAAACACACATGGCCTATAGTCACATTTGTATATTCTGATGGGGGTTTGTAAATTTTATTTCCTTTAAGAATGATTCCAGATTTTTTATGAAATTTGAAAAAAAAAGATGTAATTGAAATGTTTGTAGATATGTCTTATGACCATCTCTTATTTATGTACTAGATCTTATCCTGTACATGCTTGATTAAACTTTACGACCTTTCATGACCTTTACGCCATCGTCCAGTTGTGACATCAACAATGCACTCTAGGACCTCAAAGATCACTTTTCTAGATATGTCATATCAAAAATGTTTATTTTCATTGTTAAACCGTTTTATGTGTGTGATACGAGGATTTTAACATTTAACTACTAGAGAGTCCACCAATGGCCTCGCTCACCCTAAGCCCTAGGTGGTGGGTAAAAAGTTCATGTAAATGTTTTAAAATCTGTTTCAAGAGGCATCACTCTTTTAAAGTATAGTTCTGCTGACAGAAAATGCTATACACTTTTTTTGTGTGTTTAATTACCACAAAGTAAACAATGTTTAGTAATCAAAGAATGCGATCCCTCCTGAGGACACACTCTAAACATGTACCTTACACTTCAGTTATAAACTAGTGGTGAGGTAGTTATGGGGACACCTAGCTACCTCACTTCTCACCACCGAAGACATGTGCCAAGTAAAGGGGTATACTTCAGTGCAATATTGTCCTATAAGTGGATGGTCAGTTGTGGGCAGTCAAGGGTCAGTTATTGTAATACAGCTGTAAAGATTGGCAATCAAGGGTCATTACTAAGAAATGGTGGCCATATTTTTGTAATGACCACCTCTCTAGAGGACAATCAGTCTGTAGAGACTGGATAACCATAAAACCTATGGGACCAAGAGAAACGGGTTATATGGGTCTTAAAGTCTAGTTTACGAGAGGAAATAGACCATTCGCCACCCAGTCTCCGGAAACCTTTATAATAAAGTAAATTATTTATAAAGAAAAAAATAATACTTAAAATTTTGAATCCTTGGATGTCTAATTCTAATTTTAAACTAGGGGTAGGTAAGCTTGTAGAAGGTTCAAGACGGCAGCTGGAAAATTCTTAACAAAAAGTTAAGGGCTGGTAGTCAGTATGAAGAGAAAACTATAGTTCATGCATATATTAGACACCACTGAAGCGGATGGAAATGTTAAGATTAAATTGATAAAGATTTCTACTGGATTGATACTTGTACATATTTGGAAACATCTTAACAGGTGTGTACATATCTGTTGTATACACCTGATTACCCAATACATGTACCATTTATCTAAATATGCATCGTATGAAACATGTACACGGATACAGACCTGCTATGTCTGTACAGGTATTTAGTGTAGGACGAATGTAGAGCTGTCACAATACGATATGCATCGAAATATTAATGTCGTAATGCAAATATTTTCGATCCATTTTCGATCCACTAGTTGATACACCGAACAAAAATTACAAAATTATGCAAAATATTTTTTCAAAATAGTTTGGGAATTTAATCAAATGAAAATAATCGTGGTACAACAATATCGTGGTAAATCGTGATTCCTCTAGACATGTTGGCAGCTTAATCCTGAAGATGTACCCAAACCACCCCTCTTTGGTCCCTTATCCCTGCCTTCAGCCCTACCCCCTCCCAACTCCCTTTTACCCATTGTAGAAGAGCTATCTCTCATATTGTATTGCAATCTTCAATGAGATGTTTTAAAAATGTATAATTACCAAAACCAGGTAAACATTTTTAAATATGATAATTTGATACATTCCCCGAAGAACATTCAGAAATTCAATCTCGGGTTTGAATTTCAATGGAATTACTTAATGTACTTCCTTTTGAATGTGAATTTTACTGTTGGTAACACACTTTTGCTATCTGCATAATTATGTGGCCGACAGAGTGAGGTGCTATCTTATTATGTAAATTACTGTACATAGATAGGTGTCCTCAGATATACGGTAATATCTACCCTCAGGTACTACTAGTCGACATAATTACCAGCTCCATTTAACATGTGGTGAACGTGAAAATGTGACAAAATTACAAACCAAAAAAACTTAAAGCTATGATTAATGGTATAAATTGATGATGGGGAAATGTGGTTTACAGTGTTGACTTTGCTCTATATTCCATGTGTTACCTTCTATAGCGCTAACTGGCACTTCAAAAGTAAATAAAAAATAATTTCTTTAATATGTATTGCCCAATAGTCACCTCTTTCATCACACATGTCCTTCTTACATCATTATACCTATATCCTGTCACAAAATAATGGTGTTCTTATTCCAATTACCTGCCTTCCTTCCCCATCACCAAATAATGCTGACTTACTCCAAATTACCTGCCTATCTTCCCTAGCTGTTACCAATTGATACCATACTTACTCCAAATTACCTGTCTTCCTTCCCCATCACCAAATAATGCCGTACTTACTCCAAATTACCTGCCTCTCTTCAATTCCCTGTCATGAAATAATGCTGACTTGCTCCAAATTACCTGCCTCCCCTCCTCTTCTCGAAATAATGCTGTGCTTACTCCAAATTACCTACCTCCCTTCCCCATCATGAAATATTGCCATACTTACTCTAAATTACCTAGGTCTCCCTTAATCTCCCCTCTTCACCAAATAGGCCCTTACTCCAAGTTAACTCTCTCTTGTCACATATAACATGCCCTACTTACTCAAGTTACCCGGTTGTCTTGCCTGCCTGTCCCCAGACATGCCCTGTTTATTCAGTTAACCCCTCTTATGACGTAATTTCCCCACTTTCGAGTCCTGCAGGTGTGGAAAGTTAAACTAAACCAGTGCAGCTATGAATTAGATCATGTACTTATGCATATAGTATGCATAACAGTGGAATTGATTAGGATTTACAGCCTCGTAAAGTCCCTGTAGTGGTATATAGCTATGATTAAGTATTAATACCTCTATATTGGTATGGGACCACGGCCAGGTAAGCTGGGAGGCCATTGATCGACCCCACTGCCGATAAAAGGGGGAGGAGCTCAGTCTTACACACACCTGTAGAGAATCCATTGATTACTTATAGAAATAATTCCGATTTTTCATTCTCTCTGCGTGACACATATTGATTCAAGCAAAATAGGAGCAGTGTTAAGGGCCTTGTGTAAAGGGTCCGTTTGATAAAAACTTCTGGTGCAGTGTTATTGATTATTAGTTACCAGCGGGTATGCAAACAAATTCACAACTTTTGTTTCATTTGTAAGGGCCTCAATGGCTCGAGTGTCAGTCTCTGTAGACAGTTAATATAGGAAACAGATTTCCGATATTTCAACAAATGTCTTATATAATGGAAGTGTAAATAGAAAAAGAAAAGAAATGTGATTAAAAGAATTAACATGGAGTAGTGATCTTTAAGCCAATAGAGTGTTACGACGTCAATTATTTGTTGTTTGTATTTATGTCATAATACAACATTACCGAGGCAGGCAATCAGAAGTTGTCATCGAGTTACACTTGAACCCTAATAACGTATGCTAAAGGCACTTTTGCTGTAGGAGAAGGACAACCTGTTGTTACATTTCCAAATAGCCGTAAGCTAGCTTTGCAATTTGTAAATAGAACGAATCAAAATTCAAAAAGTCTTTAAAATCTCAAGTATTTAAGAAATATGCAGAAAATCCCTTTCGGCTGCATTGAAGTAATTATATGTTTTAAAGATTTGACTTCGAAATGTACTATAAAGAGTATCATTTTTTTTGTGTGCTAGTGAATCGTGTATCAGACAGGTGTATTATTTGATTAAACCTGCCCCTCCCCATCAGCTTGAGATAGGGTTGAGAACCTGCTGATACAATAGTGAGTCGGAACTTGTGAAAATGTTAATGATACATGAACCAGTTCCCATAGCGGTATCTCTCTCAAACTTTCTCACTCTGTCCCCAGATTTTGGACCGACCCTCAATCTTCCTATGCCTTTTCTAGTTTGCATATAAGCAGACATTGAAGGGAGGAGTTGAGATTTTTGAATTTAAAGAACTGAAAAAACGGAGATGAGACCTGTGAACTTTCTATTGATATAAACCTCCAGGCCTCCCTATACTGTTGCCCAAATACCTCTCCCTTATTTCTATCCCTATGGGTTGAGAACAGAAATGTTCCTGCCCTTTCCTACTGTTGTCCTAGTGCCCTCCTTTATTCCTATCCCAAGGGGTTGAGAGGTATGGTCCTGCCCTTTCCTACTGTTGTCCTAGTGCCCTCCTTTATTCCTATCTCAAGGGGTTGAGAGTTATGGTCCTGCCCTTTCCTACTGTTGTCCTAGTGCCCTCCTTTATTCCTATCCCAAGGGGTTAAGAGTTATGGTCCTGCCCTTTCCTACTGTTGTCCTAGTGCCCTCCTTTATTCCTATCCCAAGGGGTTGAGAGTTATGGTCCTGCTCTTCCATACTGCTGTCCTAGTGCCCTCCTTTATTCCTATCCCAAGGGGTTGAGAGGTATGGTCCTGCCCTTTCCTACTGTTGTCCTAGGGCCCTCCTTTATTCCTATCCCAAGGGGTTGAGAGTTATTGTCCTGCCCTTTCCTACTGTTGTCCTAGTGCCCTCCTTTATTCCTATCCCAAGGGGTTGAGAGGTATGGTCCTGCCCTTTCCTACTGTTGTCCTAGTGCCCTCCTTTATTCCTATCCCAAGGGGTTGAGAGTTATTGTCCTGCCCTTTCCTACTGTTGTCCTAGTGCCCCTCCTATATTTCTATCTCCAGAGATTGAGAATTATTTCCCTCTCCTCCCCTACTGTTACCCTATTGCCCTGCCTTATTTCTATCTCCAGAGATTGACAGTTATATTCCTCTTATCCCATGCAGTTGCCTTATTGCCCACTTATTCTTGTCTGTAGGGATTGAGATCCATTTTTCTACAGTTCCATAGACCCATCTCAGTAGTTCCAATCCCTAGGAGATTTATGGTATAAAAAGTTGAGCAATAAACATTCCTCAATCCATTTCCATTGACAAATGACACTAACTGTTTATTTCATTTTATAGCAGGAAATGCATTTAAATTTATTTAATGTTCTTGCTGGTTAAGATTGATTTTTCAAATGTTCTTCATTTAAATTCAAGCCTGGTGCAGCATTTTGTGAATACATTGATAAGCTGAACAATGAAAACCCGTGTTGTGTTTGAGTGAAGTGTAAACGTTGTTTCTGTGGCTGACAGTATGGTGTGTTTGTGTCGAGACATGGGCCTTGTTTATTTGGTAAATCATGAATTTTCTGTTGTGTTACAGGTATCATTGACATGCCCGAGAACATCAAATGCTGTAAATATCTACACACCGTGGAAGCCAGTGTCAACCCACTCGGAAAGTAAGTCGCATCATCATAAAACACTAAAACTTTGCATTGTATTATCAAATTAATGGCTTTGAAATTATGTGGATACAGTAAATATGCTACCTTGTTAAAATTATTGCAGTCCCATTGATATTTAGGACTCTTTGGACTCTGCAATAATTTGTTTCAAACAAAAAAACACAAAATGAATATTCAGGAGAATTTTGTGATTTGTAGTAACCTCTGCCCACCATGAACGTGTCTGGTTTGACATCTCTATGTAGATAGTGGCAACAGAAAATCTACAAATGGGCCAAAATAAAACCTGCAGAGTCACTTAACAACTTCTTTGCTTACACAGAAAATGACATAAATGTCTAGGAAAAAATTCCACAAGTATCTAATCAAGTGTATTTATAATACCCGAGTGAATGGTGATGAGTTTTATGCCAACACAGAATCTGCATAGTCATCTAATTAACACCCAAAATATACCTAATTTTCTCATAGTTTATGATAGCTTAGTTTTCATAAATGTGTGGGGTGTCACCCGTGCAATTTGAAGATGAGTTGTAAGCCAGCTTTTGTTGGCCAAGGAGTGTGAATATTCACATGTTCACGACAGAGTCGTCAACAATTCACAGTTTTATGGTCGGAGTCTTTCCGGCTAAAAGTAGATACTTGGTATTTATGTAAATCCGTTGCAGACATGGATGTAAACCGTTGGTACGAAATGGGCCAGGTACGCAACAACTACCTATAAAACCGAATCGCCGGTGTATTTCGTGGCCATACAGTCATTTCGTGGCCTGATACAGTCATACATTTTAATTAAAGGAAAGAGTATCTTGTCTTGAACAAAACAGGGGCCGTGGTGGCCAAGTGGTTAAGGCGTCTGACATTCTGCTACCACTAGCCCTCCACCACTGGGTCGCAGGTTCGAGGCCTACCTGGGGCAGTCACCAGGTACTGGCCGTAGGTTGGAGGTTTTTGTCTTGGAACTCTGGCATTCCTCCATCACCAAAACCTGGCACGTCCTTAAATGACCATAGCTATTAATAGGACGTAAAACACAAACAAACCAAACCAAACAGAATTGAACAAAACTAAAAAAAAGTATTATAAAAGTTTGTCCAGACTAGCCACTTTTTTATATCAGCTCTGTTGATTCAGTGTGTGTGTGCTCTCTGTTCTAGAGCCACTATGACAGTCAGTTGTTGGGGTAATTGCATGATCTATAAAACATTCTAACACGATTCGTTTGCAACGCGTGGTTTGATTGGATACGGACCATGTTCTAATCTGCGATAGAATCATGATCAATCGTGTTAAGCTCCTCCCATCGCACGTAAGCCACGCCCCGTTTCTAACCAAAACAATATGGCGTCAAGCTCGCCTCATAGCGAAATCCCGCTGATAAGGCTAGTAGGCAACAAAACAGAAACGACTGATGAAATGCATTTGTTGAATGAATTAAAAAGCTAAAAGTACACATTCCATGTTCTTACCGCCATTTATTACTGAAACGTTCGTTCCATCCGTGTGAAGGCATCTATATAGATCCGAAATCAAATCAAACGTTTCACATGTGTCGTATGCATTTACTTACACAAAACTCTTCACAAATCCATACAAATAATCACCGATTTTATCAATAAGCACAGATTGGTATGCATACTGACATGGAAATGTAAGAGCTTGTTCAATATTAATCCAAATGTGTCGTATAAACCTTGGTAACAGGACGTTCAAGAACAATCCAAATATTCCCCCTCGTCAACATACAGATCGAGCTCTCGCCAGTATGGGCGGGGCCAAATGACCATCTTTTGAAAGCTTCTTTCCGATTGGTCAGATTGACACGTCGCCAGTTCAGGTCACAAAGTATTTTACTACGTACTTTTGTACAAGGAAATACAATGTTTCTAAACATATTAGCGTAGTATATTTGTTAAGGTGTGTTAGAATGGGGATAGTACGTTGTTTTTCGTGTCTATACTGGCGATTAGAACCTGAGATTTGGTTTAAACTCTCGACCTATCGGTCTCGAGTTCAAACCCAAATTTCATGTTCTAATCACCAGTATAGCCACTCAAAACAACGTACTATCCCCTAATTAAAAGTATCACTCTCATACTTATACTTACATACATATGAATCATTTCAAATCTAAATACAAGAGATTTAGCACCCAGTTACAACAGGAAATTTGTTTAAGATCTGTACACGTAAATGTTGACGCATAATGCACCAAATTTCATTTGACTGCAAGAGGTGCAAAATACACAGGTTAGCATATCATATACACAAGATCTGCTGCTGTAAAAAAAAAAATATGTTTATTTGCATTATATCATTCAATATTTCCAGTTTTAAACATCAAGGTGGTGTATGATAAATATTTGTAAATTTCCTTGTGATAAAATCTTTTGTATAATTCAGTCAAAAACATTGGTCTCAATGTTAACTGTTGTCCCGTCACAAACAAATCTTGGTCAATTACGAAATTGATGCAAGTAAAAAAATAATTACTCTTCAAAACATGTGACGTGCAAGATTTTAAGTTTTTAAATTGAGACACCAATGTTAAAAATTTTAAGTTTTTAGATTGAGACACCAATGTTAAAAACTGAGTTTTTATTATAAGATAATCAAAATTTTAAATTGTTTTCAGTTGAAAAGAAGGTAATATAATTTGACTCCGATAGCTAAATGGCTGTGTTGCCTGAATGTTTAGAAAGAAAGTGAAGAAATTCCTGTTTATCTGATGTATGAGCCAAAAGTGTATGAAATCTGCCAGTTATATATGGGTTGTATTTCTATGACTTGTGAAAGTCAATGGTGCAATATGTTAACAGGACCATTAAAAGGTAGACATTTTTCTAATATTTCATTCTTGTAACAAACAATCCGTGTGCTTTGTTGATCAAAGACAAGTTTTCGTACGTCAATGCAAAGATTGATAATACATAGACATATGTCATACTTGTTTGAAGTTTTTTACTTTATAAGTGACAATTTTAACATTTTAAATATTTAATATTAATAAAGTCTATAAAACAGGTGACATAGGTAGATGGTATCTGAGATGGGAATCTTCGACATTTCTGTTGGTAGTCTGCGATATCACACCTATCGGAGGGCTTAACTTACACCTGGGCCAATTAATTAATCTCACACAGTGATCTTAGTCACACAGAGTCTTGAATGGCAATGGAGATAAGCATGATATCAATAATCTTCGTGAATATTCATTGATCTGGATTAGGATAGAAACTGGTAGAACATTAATTATCTACAATTGGACTATCGTTGTGACAAATACCAGGGAGAGCTTCACCTTTAATGATGCAGATAACACCTGCAAAATATCTTAATTTTCATGTTGCCCTGTAGATACAATCTACTAGAGGGGAAGCAATTTTTTGCCAAGATGATATATTCACATTTCCTTTGTACAGTCTTGGAACAAACCTACCAACCAAAAATGTTGTTATAATCCAGTAACAGTAAGGACCATTACACATGGATGTATTCAAATCGGAAAGTGTTTGGGTATTTCTGTCAAAGTACATGTATTTGTATAATTGGGGACCACTCATGATATTGACGTCAAATCGAAATTATGATGGAAATTCTGAAATAGTTTCTGATTGACATTCCCCGTTTGACGGAACTGCGGATAGCCAATATAAGAATGTAGAATCTTGTTTCCACTAAAATGACTGTTCTGCCAACTGGTAAAACCGTTGGTTAAAATATATTTTGAACCATACGAGACCAAAAAAGAATGATCAAAATAATATTCTATTTGTTGATTTGAACATAAAATTATCTATTGAAATGCATATTTCTAACATTTATGCTGGGGTGCAACACAGTTTTAATCAAATATATTTTCCAAAATGCGCTATGTATACTGCACATCATGGAATATGATAGCATTGCGAAAAATATGTGGCATACCGTCATTAATGTTAGAAATATGTATTTCAATCCTTAAATCAAGACTTTTCGTCTAGCATTATGACTGTTGATTTGACTAGTTGACTGTATCCATGGCGATCTGAAATGCTGCTGAGATTACACTGCATTGCTTTCATTTATATAGAAAACTTCGAATGAAATATCAAAACTTCTGAGACTTTTTATGATGGAAAAGACGATCTAAGGATAATGGCAGAGACCTATTAATATCAGTTATAGATTTTTTGGGGACAGTGAAATAATTCATGCGTGCCCAATGTGGAATTTCTCTAACAGAATAAAAACTTTTTTGTTTAGATCAAAGCTGTGTATTTTGAAATGAACATATCGGATGAAATATCAGAATTGTAGATTTCTTCACTTGGGTTGGTTATCAAATTACATAAATGCACATAAATTATCTTTGTATATTATTGCTAGGCGGTATTTTCAAAGAAAACAATCTTGATAAAGTAGTAAACACCAGCAATTTCATGGTATCGGTGTATCTTGCCCGATCAACGCCTCCCAGACAAATTGTTATGTCGGTTCTCTCACACTTACAGTGGGGGCCAATTTAGAATGTTCAAGTGTGCGCTTTATTTCTGCCGTAAAATGTACATTAAACTTGATTAAATCTCGCTATCAATTGAAATATTATTCACATGTAAATATAATCAACAGCTGAAATGCAAAGTTCACAAGAGTCGACTGTCTGAAAACCGATCTGATTCTTGCAAAAATTGATTTACTAAGTGAAAGGTGCAAATGCAAATGTAAAAAATCACAGATACGAATTAACTCACCCGGCCTGTGGTCTATACCGTAAAGGTTTAAAAAAAATAGAATGTAAGATAAGGGAGGTTGACATACAAGTTCTGTTAGAGAATGTATTTAGAAGTCCATATATCACACATTCCTCCCCCTTCCTAACGCCCATAATGTCAACATACTCATCTCATATATATACAGTATGATGCAAATGAAAATTTTGAAAAAAAATATGTGTGAAAAATTTAGGGTACATACGTATTGTATCTAGCACAGGTAAGGTGGGATATCGTACA